GGCCCCGCCCGGGAGCCAGGCCTGCGGGAGGGGCTCGCATGCGAGCGCCTGGTGACCAGGCCTATACCCACGGGGCCTGGTCGGGCTCAGTCCGCAACCATAATGTGGAGCCACTCTCCGGTGGGCCCACCACCTGCTGGAAAGGCCGTAAGGGGCCGGTGTTTTGGGCAGTGGCCGGGGCCGAGTGCCCGGCTGACCCAAACCTCGGACACCAACTCTGGTTTTTGGGTACCTCAACTTGTCATTTTTATTTAGTACGGAGACCTCTGGAACCACACTACAGCCTGTAAACAACAAGTGCGCTGTGTGTGCAGTAGCAGCTTTAAAACATTACTTGCATATGCCTTGTTAGAGAACACATCAGTGAAAGATTTGCCAGTGAAAAAGTGGGAGCAGTGATTGAATGTGACACGTCTATGATTGTTTTTGTCTTTTAACTATGTGTTGTAGTGGTGATTTGGGATGTTTATTTCACCCTGAGAGACAAAAGACGCAGCTAGTGAGAATGTGGAGAAACATCAGTTTAGCTCAGTGGGTATAAATCTAAATTGGATGAGCCATCCATCAACAAACTCCACTTATGACTCCCCTTACATGGCAGCTGTGAAGATCAATTATACACTCGGGAAGAATATGCCAGAGAAGCCGAATAGAACAATGATGGAAATGTATCTGCCCTCACTCTTACAGATCCTATTTTTGACAGCCCAATTTTACTATACAAATCTCTCTAAACAGATCCTTATTATCTAGGATCGGTATGTTCTATTTCAAGCCTCTCAGAATGAAGTTTTGTCATTTGTAAATGTCCTTAATTGTTCACACTAGGTCTGAACTTCCTAATTATTTTCGAGCCTAGTAAGTTAGCTACACACAACTACATAATAGTTGGTGCAGGATGCTAGTACATTAAATTCTGCTGAGCTATGAATCTGAGTGCAGGGTAGTAGAATGGAGTGACAGGACTACAGGCATTATGTGAGGTAGCTTTGCTCTTGCTGTTTATGAGCCAGGTTACATATTGATGAGCTAACAAGCCAGCGGCTGGACCCATTTGAATTGTGGCCAAACTGAATGATTTTAAGTAGCCACAGTACAACTGGAGAAAACTTGGAAGATGAAAAAGAAGCTACAGTATGTTGCTGTTCTATGTACAGCTCAAGTGCGAGGAGACGAGTGCAGTGGTTGAAAGCTTTCTTGAGATTTGATGTAGACCGTGATTGTTCGAGGTTGTTGTAAATGATGGCAGGTTGTGCATAATACCTTTTGATTGGGATACTATATAAAGTGTTAATTTAGCCTGAAAGCAGGGACAAAAGGTGGCAAACGCTCAAACTCTGACACGCTGACTGATGTGTACTCATGTTTTTTCATTTATTGGGGGCTCTTAAAAGGGGTTTCTCCTTCAGCTATTCATACTTAAACAGCCGTAGTTACTCCTAGTTGACTTGATTCTTTTCCACATCGTAGCTTAA